GAGGGGTCCCCAGACTGTGAGAGGGCACCAGGCCGGGGCTGGGGGCCCCCCCCCCCCCCCCCAGTGCACAAATTTTTGTGCACCAGGCCTCTAGTATATATATAAATGTATATACATATATATTTAAATAAATAGAAATATATAGATTTACATAAGCATATATAAATCTATAAGTATATATAAATCTACATAAATCTATATATTTCTGTTCTTTGAAATATGTTTTAATGACAAAAAATGAACAAAATTAAAATTAATTCTAAAAACTAGGTTTTAAAAGGACTAGTGGTCTGTAATAGAAAGGACTTAGAGGAAGAGGCGATTATCATAGAACAACTCCAAGGTCCTTGTCTGTTTTTAAGAAAGAAAGTAGAGATTTTAAATTCAGTGCCTTGTTAAGTACGGTTATTTGAAATTTAAATGTTTAAGCACTAAAAGTTTAGAAATAGGATATATAGTCAAAAGGGGAAATAAGGACACGTAGCAAATCGAATTGACAGCAGAATGAAGGGGGGATGAAGAACAAGAGCATGGTAGATGGTAAGCACTGTTCAAAAGAGATAACAAGACATTCAGAACATACCAGCCGCCATCGTAGACATAAGCACCCTGAGTGCACTGAACTATACCCAAGCCCTCCGTGCGGGCGGCTGGAAACGCTGTGTACAGCCCAGCGAGTGGCTCGGTTGGTTGATCATTGTTCTATGCACCAAAGGGTCACCAGTTTGATCCCCACTCAGGGCACATGCCTGGGTCGCAGGTTCGATCCCCATGGGGCACATAAAGAAGGCGGCCAATTGATTTTTCTCTTCTCTTCTATCTCCCTCCCTCCCTCCCCTTCCCTCTCTCTCTAAAAATCAATAAAAATATATCTTCGGGTGATGATTAAAAAAAACAGCTGTGTATAGCCTATTTACAAGAGTTACAGTGAAAAACATGAGGAGAATGAAAAAACTGAACATAATGGGGTATAAACAGATATACCCAAAAAAAGAATATAGGAAAATACTGATCTCGGAGCAAAAAAGCATTTTTCAGGATAATGAGAGTAACTACAAAATAGAAGGAAAGTTCACATTTCTGAACTCGGATGCTTTGGATATAAAACTGGACAATGTACAAAGCAAAACTCGCTGGAGTCCCAAGGAAAACGAATGAATCAAACATTTGCCGGGAGCCTTTCAGCTGCTCTCATGAGCGGGCAGATCAAAGCGGCAGGAACGAACGCACAAATTACAAGTCCAGCCGCTACACAGAAGTGCTCCCTGCAGGACGCCAAGCGGAGAGTCGGCGCTGGGCGGGAGGAGGCGTCTGCAGCATATACATGTGTCGGAAGATTGGTTTCCAATAAATAACAGCTTCCACAGGCTCTGAGCAGGTCCAGCAGCCCTGTAGCTAAACGGGCAACGAACAAGACCAGGAGCGCACAGAGGACAAGGCCCAATGGCGGACGGATCTGGGAATGAACACCAGCCTCTCTCATTATTATGGGCTCAGTTGTGTCCCCTCAAAATTCATATGTCGATGTCCTAACCCCCAGGACCTCAGATCGCAACTATGTTTGGAGAGCAGTTCTCTAAAGAAACAATGAAGTTTGCCCTGGCTGGTGTTGCTCAATAGTTAGGGCATCCGCCCAAGGACCTGAGGGTCACAGGTTTGATTCCTGGCCAAGGGCAGTACCTGGGTTGCAGGTTTAATCCCCATCCCCGGTTGGGGTGCATGTGGGAGGCAACCGATCAATGTGTCTCTCTCACATCAATGTCTCTCTCTCTCTCTTTCTCTTTCTCTCTCTTCCCCCTGCCCTTCCACTCTCTCAAAAAATTAATGGAAAAAATATCCTCAGGTGAGGATTAACAAAAACAATTTTTAAATAAAATTTTTTTTAAAGAAACAGTTAAGGTTTCATTAGGGTCACCATGGGGCCCTAACCCCTGCTGATTGGTGTCCTAAGAAGAGGACATTAGGACACAGATGCACACAGAGGGATGACGTGTGCGGGCACAGGGGGGAGGCGGCGTCCACAAGTCGAGGAGAGGCCTCAGGAGGAGCCACCCCGCGGACACCTTGGCCTCAGACCCCGAATCCGAGGCTGGTCCTGTCTCTCCCTTTTCTGTGTGTGTCGGGGATACTGAGTCACGGTGTGGTCTGTGCCGGGAAGCTCGTAAGATATTTGGCATGAATTGGGCTATTTTCTCCTGCTTCCATTTTCTTGAGTTCCTTTTTTATTTTTGACCTAATCTGTGGCTCCCATGTTTTCAATTTTATTGCATTACTAGAGGCCCAGTGTATGAAATTCCTGCTCTGGTAGGGTCCCTAGTGGCTGCCAGCTGGGTACTCCCCCCCTTCTCCTGGCCGGCCCCGCCCCCTGGTTGAACTCCAGGACGACCTCTCAGTCAAAGGGACAATTTGCATACTACGCTTTTATTATATAGGATATGCATTTTGCAAGTCACGTTTAATTTTTCTTGGAACAAGTTAATAAATTAATGTTTTTTTATTTGTTTTATTTTTATGTTTTTAAATATATTTTTTACTGATTTCAGAGAGGAAGGGAGAAGGAGAGAGATGGAAACATCAGTGATGAGAGAGAATCATTGATTGGTTGCCTCCTGCACGATCCAGGATCGAGCCTGCAACTTGGTCATATGCCCCCACCAGAAATCGAACCGTGACCTCCTGGTTCATAGGTCAACACTCTACCACTGAGCCACCACAGCTGGACAATTAATGTGTTTTAAAAGCAGACATTGGGTCCTTCGTGCTGGTCTGTGTCAGCGTCCAGGCCCGGATGGATGCCTTTCCCGCTCCCGAGGTCTGCCTCCTCACGGTGAGCCTCCTCACCCAGCCCGCCACGCCAGCGCTCCGGGCAGAGCGGAGGTTTCTCACGGTGACCCTGCCTTTCCAGGACCGCGTGCAGCACGGGAACGTGATTATAACTGCGAATGGAGCCGTGGCACAAAGCCAGGGGGCCAGCGCAAGCTTCAGCGAGAAACGAGAGGGCGTTCTCTGTCCCCCGATAATAGCATCGAGTCTCTGGGGATGAATGCAGTGCGTGGCCCGGGCGGAAAATGGGGGTGCAGCAGGAAGCAGCCGAGCCGGGCTGTGGCGCTCATCATTGCTCTGTGCATCTGGCCTTCCTCTTCAGCATGCATCCCAGCCTGCTCTCCTGAGAGCTCCCGGGGGCTCGGCGCTCGGATGGAATGCCGGATGAGAGCCCTTTGACGGGAGCTGGGAGCGGGGTGCAGCTACAATATGAATGTAATGTGCGCGAGTCTGCCAGCTGCTAGAATACAAATCGAGCACCTGCGGGAGGCACGTGATAGCTGATGGCTGTCATTTCTTTGCAGCGTCTCAACACTTCTCTCCACTGGCAAGTGGAGAGGGGTATCAGCTCAGGCTCCGTCAGCCCCGGGGCACAGTAGCTTAAGTCAGAAAGCACCGTCATGGTGACCTGGCTGGTTATCCCAGTGGTTACAGCATCAGCCCGTGGACCAAAGGGTTGTGGGTTTGATTCTGGTCAAGGGCACCAACCTCAGTTGCAGGCTCGATCCCTGGCCCCGGTTGGGGCGTGTGCGGGAGGCAACCATTGATGTGTCTCTCACATCGATGTTTCCGTCTGTGTGTCTCTCTCCCCCTCCCCTCCGTCCCTCCCACTCTCTCTAAAAATCAATGGAGAACTTATCCTCGAGTGAGGATTTTTAAAAAGCACAGACATTGCAGTCATTGCCATTTTAAGGACAGAAGAGCCCACATACGGAGCCTGAGGACGGCCTTAAACAGCCGTGACAGGGACTCACAGTGTCATAAAGTGGTGCCCCGTCCCAGACAGAACCGAGGCCCGTGAGGGCACCGCGAGACCTGATCACAGTGGCGGGTGTTGTCCTGGAAACTTAGGCCCAGGTCTGGTGTCTGTCAGTTTCCTGTAGCTTTGGGGCGGCAGCGGGGGGGGGGCGGCTAAAACGGAATGAATGGCTTCATCACAGCCGCTTGCTGTCTCGTGCTCCATGAGTGGATTGGGCTCCGCTGGGCAGTTCTCCATGTGGCATCAGCGGGGGCTGCCCTGGGACACCCAGATGCCCAGGTGCTCACCCCGCGGCCGCCCCTTGGCCACTCACCTGAGGCTGTGACCAGCGCACCTTCTCCTTCTCCTGGCTTCTCCCCGGGGCGGGGGCTCTGGCCAGTTTCCCAGAGGCAGGTGGCAGGAGCTGCAGGTTCCCTGAGGCCTGGCCCCTGGCCTTGGACTTGGAAGAGCATCACTGGGTCCAGGGGTCGCAGAAACAAGCTGGCTGTGGGGGACGCGCGCGCGTGTGTGTGTGTGTAGCGTGTGTGTGGGGAGCACGTGTGTGACGGGGGGAGCGTGTGTGTGTGTGTGTGTGTGTGTGTGCGTAGCGTGTATGGGGGGAGCACATGTGTGTGGGGAGCGCATGTGTGTGGGGAGCACGTGTGTGTGGGGAGCACACGTGTGTGGGGAGCGGAGATATTGTTGGAGGGGTGCATCTCGGGAGACGGTGCCCGCCCATCCTGCAAACACTGAGCTCACACATCTGCTAAAGACGAAGCGACTACAGTAAAGGGCCACTTGTCCGCCAGAGCGGGGACCAGTGCCGCCGCTCTCCCCAGGCCTCAGTTTGTGCAGCTGTGAAGCGGGGGCACTGGCGTCCTCTCCTCCCTCACGGCTCTGCCCTCTGTGTTCCAGGTACTCCTTCCAGGACGAGGAGGACATGTTCATGGTGGTGGACCTGCTGCTGGGCGGGGACCTGCGCTACCACCTGCAGCAGAACGTGCACTTCCCCGAGGGTGCCGTGAAGCTGTACATCTGCGAGCTGGCGCTGGCGCTGGAGTACCTGCAGCAGCACCGCATCATCCACAGGTGAGGCTGCGCGGGGCAGCGCCGAGGGGCCTGCGGGAGCCGGCTGCAGGGGTGTTTTCCCACGCGGGGTGTGTGGGAGGCCGCTGCAGGGGTGTTTTCCCACGCGGGGTGTGCGGGAGCCGGCTGCAGGGGTGTTTTCCCACGCGGGGTGTGCGGGAGCCGGCTGCAGGTGTGTTTTCTCATGGGGGGTGTGCGGGATCCGGCTGCAGGTGTGTTTTCCCACATGGGGCCTGTGGGAGGCCGCTGCAGGTGTGTTTTCCCACGCGGGGTGTGCGGGAGGCCGCTACAGGGGTGTTTTCCCACGCGGGGTGTGGGGGAGGCCGCTGCAGAGGTGTTTTCCCACACGGGGTGTGCGGGAGGCCGCTGCAGCGGTGTTTTCCCACGCTGGGTGTGTGGGAGCCGGCTGCAGGGTTGTTTTCTCATGGGGGGTGTGCGGGAGCCAGCTGCAGGGTTGTTTTCCCACATGGGGCCTGCAGGAGGCCGCTGCAGGGGTGTTTTCCCACATGGGGCCTGTGGGAGGCCGCTGCAGGGGTGTTTTCCCACTCGGGGTGTGCGGGAGGCCGCTACAGGGGTGTTTTCCCACTCGGGGTGTGCGGGAGGCTGCTGCAGCGGTGTTTTCCCACGTTGGGTGTGTGGGAGCCGGCTGCAGGTGTGTTTTCTCATGGGGGGTGTGCGGGAGCCGGCTGCAGGGTTGTTTTCTCATGGGGGGTGTGCGGGAGCCAGCTGCAGGGGTGTTTTCCCACGCGGGGTGTGCGGGAGGCCGCTACAGGGGTGTTTTCCCACGCGGGGTGTGCGGGAGGCCGCTGCAGCGGTGTTTTCCCACGCTGGGTGTGCGGGATCCGGCTGCAGGGGTGTTTTCCCATGTGGGGTGTTTTGGAGCTGGCTGCAGGGGTGTTTTCCCACGCGGGGTGTGCAGGAGGCAGCTACAGGGGTGTTTTCCCATGTGGGGTGTGTGGGAGCCGGCGGCGGGCCAGGGGTTTCCCACTGACAGTGCACGGAGACCATAAAAAATAGTGCGCTTCAGTCCTGCTCACCGTGACCTGCCTCGAGGCGCAGGCCCACTGCCTGTCACGGGGGGACCTGCGTGGTCCCCGCTGCGAGCTGGTGCCTTTGGGAGGCTGGCGTGTTCTGTCCCTCCCGTCCCAGTTACAGAGACCACGTGCGGTGAGGTGGGGGGACGGGTTCTGCTCTGTCCCTCTCCCCGCTCGCCCCAGGAACCCACGCCGTGCATCTCGGAGGGTGTCTTCCTGGTGGGGAGCTGCAGGGCTGTGGGGATCGGATGATAACCTCAGGCTGCTGTGAGGATGAGAGAGAACGGACCGCGTGCCGCGTTTGGGGTGTCCTGTCCCCGTCACGGGGTCCATTTGTTGTGTTTCCCCATCACTTCCCTTCTCGGAGAGTCTGGCAAGGCAGATAAAACCGACTGAAATATTCATTAAGTAAAACCCAGTTTGCGTCCATCGGTTATGCTAATATGCATGCTTACTAGTCCTTTGGTTGCTATCTAACCGCCCCCCCTGCCATTTGTGGGGGCTTGTCCCGGGTGGGAATGTCTGGGAGGGGGGTGTCAGGCAGGGAAAAAGGAGACATGTAAAATTTTAGACAGTAAAAAAAGGAAAATAAAAATAAATAAAAGAAAAAAAAACACCAAGTGTGGAGCCTGGCTGTGCCGCTTGCTGTCCGAGTCAGAGGAACAAGCTTGGAAGTCCCTTCAGGCCTCGTTTTCTTGATCTTCACGACGAGACGAGCATGCGTCGCTCCCAGGCTGGTGGTGGAGGCGAGATGAGATGACGTCTAAGATGCTTAATGCCTCGGAGGTGCAGGGGGCATGAAGGGCCTGGTCACCTGGCCCAGGTGGCAACTCACACGGCATCAGCTGTACCCCACTTCTTGGTGGCCTCTTTGGGAAGTTTTGCAGTGAGTAGCAGGGCCTGGCATTTCACAGAGCTGGACTCGGGTCCAAGCGCTGGCCTTGTCTTTGTTGAAGTTGAGGCCAAGTTCCCAGGCTGCTCAGTTCGGAAGGCAAATCAGGGTGAACAGTATCGACAGTGGCCCTGGTGATGGCTGCCGTGGCACACGGACCGAGGGACAGGTTCCAGCAGGTGCCTACGTGTGCCACACCGTTCACGCCTCACAACCGCCGGGTCTGCTGACCCCACTTGCGCTGCAGACGGGCGCGCAGATGCGGCAGATGGTTCGGAACAAGAGCACGGAAAAGCGAGAGGACAGTGGACTGACCCCATGAGAGAGAGATGAGCTCCAGAAGGGCTTGCATTTGGGGAAGAAGGACAAGGGGTTGGGAACAGGGCACCAGCAGGAGAAAAGGAAGTGTGGAAGCAGAGGGTGGGGCGCGGGTTCTGGGGAGTTTGATGAATGAGTAAGGCTGGAGCTGCCGGGCCCTGGCCCCCTGGGTCCTGCCACCTCCATCCGGTAGTTCATCTCCTGGAAGCCCTGGTACCATCTGTTCTCTCCGCAGGAGCCTTGACACTCGGGGCCAACAGGTGTCGGGCCCCGCGCCTGGTTCTGCATCTGAGATATTGTCACCCCGTCTGTATTGGCGTCCTACCAAGGAAATTGCCCTTAATCTAATGTTCCTTCCTCTGCGAGGCCCACAGATCCAGAATGTTTAAAAAGGAGATGAGAGTCCTGCTCTCGTGTTTCTGGGTCAAGAGACTCTTTAATAAGATTCGGCTTCACTCCTGTCATTACAATAATAACGGCATCTCCCCGCCTGGAGCCCAGCGCCTCAGCAGGAGAGGGGCGTCCGCAGACTCGCTTCCCGCTCTCCCTGAATCCACTTGGACTCCACAGGCGCTTCCGCTGTGGCGCTGAGCTTCGGCCGTGAGCCCCATAAAGTGAAGGTTGGCTTTAGCACAGGGGAGCCCCTTCAGGACCTGAGACCCGAGGTCTGGACCCGAACCCTCATCCCTCCCGTCCGAGGTCTGGACCCTCGAACCCTCACCCCTCCCGTCCGAGGTCTGGACCGTGAACCCTCATCCCTCCCGGGTGCTCACCGGATGCTGAGTGTTTTGCTCGCCCGATTGGGACATGGGACGGGAGCTGAGTGGGGTCGGCCCGCGGAGCCAGGAGGCGCTTTTGGAGGCGACAGCTTTGGAGCTGAGACTTGCAGCAGGAGTAGGCAGCAACCGGGAAACGGAAACAAGACGGAACCTCCGTTTCTGAGTGCTCAGGGCTATCACTTGCCCGTCCACCTGGGTCAGAACCAGTAGGATAGACACATGCATCATGTACAGGTTACAGAGGCGGCAGGTTCCAGGAGCTGCCGGGGAGTCCTCACACGGGGCATCCAGTGAGTTGTCGCGTGGCTCCTGTCCAGCACCCAGCCAGGGCCCAGCCAGCGCCCAGCCAGCACCCACCAGGGCCCAGCTAGCGCCCAGCCAGAACCCAGCCAGGGCCCAGCTAGCGCCCAGCCAGAACCCAGCCAGGGCCCAGCCAGAACCCAGCCAGGGCCCAGCCAGTGCCCAGCCAGAGCCCAGCCAGGGCCCAGCTAGCGCCCAGCCAGAACCCAGCCAGGGCCCAGCCAGAACCCACCCAGCACCCAGCCAGAACCCAGCCAGTGCCCAGCCAGAACCCAGCCAGGGCCCAGCCAGTGCCCAGCCAGAGCCCAGCCAGAACCCAGCCAGCACCCAGCCAGAACCCAGCCAGGGCCCAGCCAGCACCCAGCCAGGCCCCAGCTACAGCCCAGCCAGAGCCCAGCCAGCTCAAGACCCAGGGGGGTGGTATTTCAGTTCAAGTTCAAAGGCAGTCGTCTTGCAAACAGTTCTCTCACAAGGGGGAAGGTCAGCCCTTTTGTTCAATTCAGACCTTTCACTGATGGAGGAGGCCCACCCACATTAGGGAGGGCGACTGCTCTACTCAGCACTGATTTAAATGTTAGTCTCATTCAAAACACCCTCACAGACATCCTGGAATAACGTTTGACCAAATATCTGGGCACCTGTGGCCCAGGCAAGTCGATGCATTAAAATTACCTATCACACCATCTACTCACAATCCCCACTAGGGTGGCTGGTCTGGGGGTTGAGCTGGAATTGTGACTGGTGGCGCCGAGATCTGTGGAGACCACGGCTGCGCAGCAGGCGACAGCCACATGGTCTTTCCCGCTCCTGATGCTTCCGCCTCGGAAGGCGCCTTGCTGGGCCCTGCCTCCCTCCAACTCGGAGCGCCTCCGCTGATCAGCGATTTGGAAAGATTTACCAGCCACGCCTGCTCGGCTCTGCCCTCAGCACGTGCTCTGCCCTCTGCGCTGTGCATCTGACCCTGCAGCTCCTCTCCATGTGGACGGACCCTCCTGGCCCCGAGTTGCCCGTAGCAGGTGGCTGTCTCCTGGTTCCCAGGCCCAGGTCCCCGGCCCTCGGCCCTCCTGCAGAGCCTCGCCCTCCGACTTGCCCTCTCCCAGCAAGAAAGCGGACATGTTGACCTCTAGCTGTGCTTTTGTTTTATTCCTCCAAGTCATCTCACCCAGCTGGGAGGATTGGCGCTGTTTGCTGTTTGCTGTCCACTCAGATACCCCGACATTACACTCAGGTTACTAAGAGGTGAGCTGTGGAGGTTGAAGTTCAAGATAATCTGGAGAAAGAAGATTCCCAGAGTGGCAGAGAAAGTGTTGATGAAGGAAGTCAGAGGCCCAGGGCCAAGCCTAGACCTGAACCCCCGCACAATGACAGAGGCGGAAAGGGGCGGCAAAGGACCAGGCAGGGGAGATCCCGGCTGCACACACAGCCGCTCACGGGACAGGAGCTTCTGGAAGATGGGGGTGGGGGGCAGAGATCCACGTTTCCCAACTCACCACCACCCCAAGGTCCAAGCCCAGGGCACATCCTGCATCTGTCCATCCCCCGAGTGAGCCGGTCTGCAGAGAAGCAGTACCAGTAAGTCTTACACGTCTGGGCAGCCTGTGGCCCAGTCCCGGGGACACAACATTGACCGTCACAAGCCCTAAGTCCATGACTGTGTCCTTGTAAGAGAGAGGAAAGGAC